TTTTATATTGAGATTGAATATATTTAATTAAGATTGAAAAAAACGTTCACGTCGACTAAAAAGCTATAATAAATCCTAAGAAAGAAGAAATGATCATTTTTGAAAGTGTAAAAGTGCGGTCAGACAATAGCATAGAATAGCTCTCCAAACACTGTGTAAAAAGTAATGAGATAAAAAAAATTGGTAGAGTGGTTAGGAATGTTTCTGTAACATGAAGAAATAAGAAAAGTTCAAAACAAATGCGAAATAAACTAAAAAACTGTTCCAGGGGATGTCTTCCCCAACACTTGTTGTTGGGGGAGCTCTCCCCCTAATTTGGTAGGCGTGGCGTCTCCCCCAAAGCCTTCGGGGAAGTGTAGCATACGGGGAGGGGACCCCTCCCCTCGAGGGGGAGTATAGCATAGGGCCCCAGATCACGAATATGGCATTCACTTCTAGCTGTGGTGCCATTTATCGCCAGTTTGGGGCCACATCTTTTTTTCCCCCCACTTATTTCATTACCAGTCGATACCGACCGACTGCGCCGGGCGGGCGCGGTTTCGCCGCGCGTACCTTCTTTCACATATTTCTAGACTCAACTGATATCAGGCTTTTGTTCTGTACTCATGGTTAAAGCTTCTCGACAAATACATCATCCCTGCTATTTTGACTATTACTGAGTATGGAGTGGTACTAAAGTGCGTATGGGCACAGGCGACAGAATAGCTGGGGGAGGAATTTTTGTCGAAGTCGTTCTGGCCAACTTGGGCCGTATCACAGGAGGAGGAGCGCTGGCATCAGCCGCCGAGCCGACTGGAATCTAATACCTATGACGACCGGTGGTTAAGAGTATGGCAGAATACGCGCTAAAACTCAGTAAGAATAAATACGTCGTGCGCTCCGCCCACGGGGATTACAACACTCGACTCTTGCCATATATCCAACATTTGAGGTCCTGCACATCTCTGCTTACATGTTGACGGTGTCTGGACCGCTCTGAAACCGTTTTGCAGATTTTTTTTGTCTGGCTCCGCCCACAACATTTATGCCCCACATTTCTCAATGGGCGACCAACTCAATTTGTTCCGGTCTTTGAAGTGCTCTGAAACTATTTTACAGATTTTTCGTCTGACTCCGCCCACCTCGGAGCAGGCTCCGCCCACAATTTTTGTGCCCCACAATCTTCACCGGCGACCCTCTGCTGACCTTAATCCACTTTTTTCCGGTCTCTGAAGTGCTCTGGAACCGTTCTACAGATTTTTGTCTGGCTCCGCCCACCTCGAGCAGGCCCCGCCCACAATGTTTGTGCCCCACAATCCTCACCGGCGACCCTCTGCTGACCTTAATCCACTTTTTCTCCGGTGTCTGGAGTGCTCTGAAACTATTTCAACGAAATTTTTCTTCGGCTCCGCCCACCTCGGAGCAGACTCCGCCCACAATTTTTGTGCCCCACAATGTTCATCGGCGACCCTCTGCTGACCTTAATCCACTTTTTTCCGGTGCTCTGGAACCGAGCTACAAACTTTTAAAATGAGTATCCTGCGATTAGGGCAAGCTCCGCCCACTGTGGGCGGGTCTCAACACACTTTGAGCGTGCCCAACACTCGCCAGATATTTACATTCTGCACTGAGCTTTTTGCGACTTCTAAACACTCTTGCGAACCGGGTTACTGAGTTTTGTGAGAAGCGCCGCCCATTTTGGATGTGTCTCCCACAGTTAGTCTGGCAACTCCTTGCTAACCCCATTCCACTTTTTCCCCATCTTTGAGCTGCTCCGGAAGCGAATTATGAACATTTCTGTGCGGAACCCCAAACTTTCGGCGAGTGCCCCGCCCACTGTGGCGGGGCTTCGCATAGGTCAAGTGTGCTTTTTATTTCTTGTCCCATGCTCTACCCATCCCCACCTTGACCCGACCTCTCAAGTCGTTCTTCAGGTCGAACCGAATTTCCGGACAGACAAACTTAAACAAACTTACAAACTTACAAACAAACAAACAAACAAACTTACAAACTTACAAACAAACAAACAAACGAAGCGACGCCAAAAAGGTATCGGGCGGAGCATGGAGGAACTAGCGGGTTTCACGGTCCTGTATCTCGTTTCTGCGCATGTGTGATGGGGCCCTAGGGACGAGTGAAATCGCTACACATCGACAGCGGGAGCTGATAGTCACACCACACACACACACACACACACACACACACACACACACACACACACACACACACACACACACACACACACACACACACACACACACACACACACACACACACACACACACACACACACACACACACACACACACACACACACACACACAAACTATGTGTGACTGTACCATGCGTCTTTGATGGATCTACTTTATTTTTTAGAATAGCTTTTTTAGGGCGTACCTGATTTGAGCAAACAGAGTTTTCATGAGCAGTTCAAAAATTGTTGGTAAAACTATCAAAAAGCGGGTGACTTGGAATTGCTTCAGTTTTTTTCCGCGGCCATACCCCAGCAAATGTTTGAGAGTCAGCTTAGTCCCCTTAGGGATGCGTCATTGAAACACGTTGCGGTTGCAGTAATGCGAGTATGAGGCTGTTTCAGTTGGTGTTGGGCTATACACAAACGATGGCACTCCAACATGAAAGTGCACTTCCGTTTGTCCCTTAGTCCTACTATGTTCTTCACAAAATCGTTAGGCACTGTTCAACTATTGATACCTAAACAACTCAGATAATGTTTTTGGTGAAACTTTGCCCATAAGGAAAATTCGATGTCCTGACCACGAATATGACGTTGATTTTTCGGCATCAGCGCCATTTAGCGCTCTTCTAAGACTGAGCCTCAGAGAAGAGTGGTTCCTTTGGGACTGGGTTCAGCCTTGGCAGAGCGCAGATGATCGCGGTGTCCTCCATTAGCGCCAGCGCCGGAAATGAATGTCATATCCGTAATCGGTGTCAAATAAGCCCCTTGTACAAGTTTTCAGTGGATTTGGTGATCTAGGATATTTTGGCGCCGGCGCATGTCCCGCGGGCGCCAGGCAGTTTAGGTCCAGCGGACGCGATATTCATGTTCAGGAGGTCAAACTACTCGCAAGATTTCAGCGAACTCGGTGACTGAGGGTTTTGGCGCCGGCGGCTGTGGCGTGGTCGCCAGGCAGCTTTATGTCAAACGGATGTGATATTCGTGTTCAGGAGGTCGAATTCCCTTAGAACCGGGTTTCCAGCCTAGTCTGCGCCCTTGGAAAAAAGTCGGTCGAAATTTGGTCTGCTTTCGGAAGTACATGGGAGTAATAGTTGAGTAGTACCAATCGTTATTTCTTCGAGCTGTGGCTGAGCAGCGTCCAAAGACAAGGGGGGAGTTGTGAGTGGGAGACATCACGTTAGCGATTGTGATCGAAGTCGATTACTTGTTTTTTTAAACAGGAAGGAGGTAGTGGACTAGGCCTTTGCAGCATCGATATTGACTGGATTGATCGTGTTTCAGAGGAGGAGGTGGGGGCTGGTAAGCGAAGCGAACCCTTTCTTGAAAGCAGTTGGTACGGTCAATCCCTAAAGAAGAGTAGGATTAATACGCCTGACAGGACGGAATTCCGCGCCCCCGAGGAGGCGCTGCGCAGCGCCCTTTCCAAGGGTACCCTCATAGGGGGGCCTATCAAGCTGCAACACACCGACCCAAACGCCCAGCACGCCCGCCTCGCCCACAAATGGACGACCGTTCGTATTGATTCATTTGCTAAGCAAATTATGAAGCGAAGGGATTGGTATGAAGCGGCCGTGGTGCTGCATGGATATATGAGTACACATATGCAGCCGTATCTTCGGTAGCGGTTATTGGCAAGATGCCTACGGGAAACTCGTCCGAAATCGATTTCAAGTCACTGAGAACGGAGGCTTTTCTTCGCAGGATTTTGACCGTTTCACTCCGTTCTTTCGCCATTTCCCCACTATATAGCGCCCTGCTAGCATTTTAGGCCGAGTACCAAATTATCGTGCCAACTGCCTTCAAATGGATACTGATCGGTCGCAACCACTAGTCTCCTTGGAAAAGGCGGCAAACTTTGAGTCGGGCCGCATCGACTCTAATTCCGAGCTCTCGCACAGTAGTATCGCGGGCCAACCATACCGGCAGTGAATAAACGAATTGTGCAATAGTTGGCAAAAAAGGCTCGGCACTATTTACCCTTCACTGCCCCAATCTTCCAAAAACAAGCCAGTTTTTGACCGACTTTTTGCGTGGGCAAAATTGGCTAAAAATTTGTTCCCTGGGGTAGTTTGACCTCCTGAACATGAATATCACATCCGCTTGGCACGAAACCTCCTGGCGCCCGCGCCACAGGCGCCGGCGCCAAAATACCCTAAATCACCAAATTCGCTGAAAACTTGTTCCCAGGGGTAGTCTGACCTCCTGAACACGAATATCACATCCGCTCGACACGAAACCTCCTGGCGCCCGCGCTACAGGCGCTGGCGCCAAAATACCCCAAATCACCGGCGCCTGTGGCGCGGGCGCCAGGAAGTTTCGGGCTAAGCGAATGTGATATTCGTATTCGAGGTCAAACTACCCCAGGAGACAACATTTGAGCCAAATCTGTCCACGGAGAAAAAAGTCGGTCAAAAACTGGCTCAATTCTGGATGGTTGGGGCAGTAAAGGGTAAATAGTGCCAAAGGTTAAAACTAAAGTCAAGATTGACAGTGTGTTGAACATGTGGCAGCCAGGTAACTCTGGAGCTATTCACTGTATTTTTTTCCAGGCACCACGGAGACGGAAGTGGGCGGGCAGGCAATTTCGGGCAGCGATACCGTAGGACCCGCCCATGTTAGAGCGGCAGTGGTGATGGAGCGTGCGTTGGCACCGCTCTCGTACACCATCCTTCCACTGGTGCACGAACCATGGCCTTACGACGATAGTTCACCTTCGTCATCCACCACACACTCATCGACGTATCCTTCGTCGATGCTTTTAAGGACTTTGCTCTCAGTGGCAGTCTTACTCATGATTGTCGTGACCATCGTGGGAAACGGGCTCGTCTTTCTGGCTGTTGTTCTGGTACGAAAACTCAAACAACCGGCAAACTTTCTTATTATTTCACTAGCGATCGCCGATTTCTTTGTCGGTTTACTTGTCATGCCGTTGGCGTTTATTGACTTGCTCTTCACCGAATGGCCATTGGGAAGGTTCGTGCCAGCTTTCTTGAATTACATCTCATACTGGCTCAAAAAAAGCAAGAATAATGAGCATAGTAACGCTGTTCGTTAGGACACAGTTCGTAGAAGTTTATATGGTTGAGCGAAGCGGTAATTCATAGCGCATACTTTGCTACAAGATTCTCAATAATACTACGCTTGATGCGCACCTTTTTATTTAGCACCCATTTGTCAACTGTCCTCCATTAGCGCGAAACCCGTTCGCGTAGAGCATTTTTTCTGCACTTTTTCAGTGGAGCGACTTAACCACTAGTGTAAGGGCTTACCACAAGAAGTCTCGCCTTTCTTGGTGTCCGATGCGAGCGCCTAATATTTGTCTGCCAAATTCTTTAAAAACGTGAAATCGTAAAATCGTTCACATTCAGTTTCAGCTCCTGAATGTTTTTCTGGAACTTCTTCTGTACTCATGGTAAAATTCAGGTCCATGTGCAAGTTGTGGACAACTGCCGACTTAACGCTGTGCACAGCGTCGATCGTGAGCCTCTGCGCGATATCCGTTGATCGTTACTTGGTTATCACTCGACCGCTGCGATACTCGGCAATAAGAACGACGGCTCGAATGCTCATATATATCGCGGTAGTGTGGATGATCGCCGCTATCGTTAGCCTGTCCTCACATATTATCGCGAATCTTCTAGACAGCGAAAAGCACGAAGATCGAATTTGTCAGGTGATTTTTGAGAGATTCCTTGTTCTGAATCAGTTCCTTGGATGAGCTCGTGATTCAGCTCACATAGATTTCGGGTGTCTGGTGGCATTTAGCTTCCTTGGTCATTCTTTGAGTAGCATCCATTAACATTCATTGGTGACATGAAGAATTCCAAAGAGTTCCACGTGTTGCATTGACGCCCTAAGCTGCACCTTTGTGGCTCTCATGCATGCTTGTCTATCTGTTGACTTCTTTTCCTTCTCCTTCAGCTTTGCACTTTGCGTTTGCAAGGCGTCTACACCATTGGGTACACTGTCGCCGGTGCACTAAGTCCCATCTGGAGAGAAAAACTGTGACACTATGTTTCACACCAGTTACAATCGTTTTTGATTCCATATTAATCAAATGTTAGCAACCACGGCAAGGATAAGCGTATTTTAGGCTAAGATAGCGCGATCGATGTCGATTGCTAGTTCGCATTTAGCTGTACCCCGTAGCCAAAAATTTGCATACAGAAGCACATGTGGCATCTGTGTATGCATGAAAACTGCTGAACAATTAAAATTTTTGCATACATACGTTGAACACCTTCATTGTTTGCTCCTAGAAAGTTCTCAGAGATGAATCTCCTACGAAAGTGGATAAGATTGTATTTCGAGAGGAACATTAAAAACTGAAATCGAGCTGAAAAAGCATTGTTGATATGCTAATTCTTCACCAGTTTATAAGCAAACATTTCTGCCAAAAGAGGACCAACCAGAAATTGAAGATGGGTAAGAGATGGTTCTGGTAATTTCTTTGTCCGCATGAGAATCAAATACACAGATCAAAACGCAGTTCCTGAGCGCGTCAGTTGTTCTTTTGGTCACATGAACAAAAATGAGATGCGAACGAGGAAAGTGCGGATGTGAAAGTGATTTCCCTTCACAAACTCCTAGAACAATTTTCTCTTTGGCTGCCACATGTCCTTTGTGAAACAAACTAGTGCTCCGAAGCTTCTCTTTGTCTTCGTCCATATGCGGTCTATAGGTAGCAGGTAGAATAAACCACAAGTGCGTGAGATCATTATTTCACATGACTAGCAGGTGCATCCACCACATCAGCGGTATCACGGATACCTTTTCATGGAAAAAATCCCTCTTTCGGCCACTTGCTAATTTCCCTACATGTTACATAGTGGATTCTATAAGTTAAAAGTGTAAGCTGTGCTCTGCTGGATAGGGCAATTAAAGGCAAAGCCCGCGACCACAGATTGTGGGTAACGGAACCCACATAGGAACGAAAAAGGGCTAGGTATCTGATTAGCGGAGAAAAGCAGCAGAAAAACAGCCGAAAATGCCCTAAATAGGATTCCATATCGACCCCAACTTGTACATGCATGCAATGAAGAAAACGCATGTTTGTACGAATTTCCACTCGTCGTTATCATAAAGATATCAGCTCTTTTATCGTATCACCTCACTCTCACCATTCGGACCATGAAGAGAGGTAGCATAGTCTACCTAGCAGTAGCTAGCAGCCTGGTGGGGGTCGGCATGGGCCTAAGGGGCGCCCATGGGCCTAATTGGTTAGCTTAAAGCGGAATTCTTGCCGATTTTCACTTTCTAAAGGTAGCGCAGCCTCCGCAATCTCCTTCCGGATCGTCTGACACATTTGAAAGGTCATAGCCTTATTTTATCGCGGAAAGTGCCTTTAAGGAACGGAGATAATGATAAAGAGAAACCGTTCAGTTTGCAATGATATTCCAACATTTTTTCACAGGATATGTTGCACTTATACACTCCTCATCATTACGGACTGTCGGGGCGTATCGGCCAGAAGGAGTGCGCACACTGTTTGAAGCCGTTCTCAGCCTTTTTTTGAAGCGCGTATGCGACAAAAAGTGGTAGAAAACGAGTAATACGAAGGATATAATGCTGTTATGTCATTTGATCGCTTCAACAACTGGTGCAGAAAGACTTTGGAAAAACGCAGCCGCACTGACCCGCCCGACAGTCCGTAATGATTGAATAGTAAATAAATATATAAATAAATAAATAAATAAATAAAATAAATAAATAAATAAATATATATATATACTGCGAAAAAAACCTGAAACAAGATACAAAATCGCGTTCAAGACGGTTCTGGAGCGCTTCTTCAGCACCAAAGCAGTGGAAAGGGGAGCAGACAGCGAGAATTAACAAGAAAAATCTGTTCTTTGCTCTGAATTCGGTTTGCTTTTTACTGTACTTAAGCCTTCATCATCCGTGGAATCGACTCCACAGACGTCGGGATATCCATGAAAATCAACCCCAAATTCCTTCGAAAATTCCCTTGAATGCATGGAACGCTCTCTCGTGCTGGTGTTTTTCTTCCCTACGACTCATGCTTCAAGTCACCTCAAAGATGCCTGATGGGATCGAGGAGGGGGCCTTTGCTCGGTCATTTTGCTGATGCTGGATGCTGACCTTGTGTGCCGGAACTTTATTTCACGTACTTCTGTGTTTGCCTCAGGCGTCATTTTACGTTATAAAAACAGTTCTTTCTCTTTAATCGATATTCCACGACGATATACTTAAGTCAAGGAGAATAAAAGAAAATAATTTGGAAGGAAATCACAATTTTTTTTCGGCTTGTCTCAAGTTTTTTTCCTGCCAGCTGTATATATATATATATATATATATATATATATATATATATATATATATATATATATATATATATATATATATATATATATATATATATATATATATATATATATATATATATATATATATATTATATATATATTAGGTTGGCGGGAAAGTTCTGTCACATTTTTTCAAACTAGGCTTTCTTTTTATAGAGAGGAGTGTAAGATCAAAATTGTACAGCAATGTAACTGCGGGGTCCTTGCCACTGTTTGAGCACCGCATAACGATCGATTACGGAAGGCAACTTGCTATTAGGAGGGGCGATGTCTTGCTTACACAATCTGCAAAAAAAAACGGGCGAGAGAGATCAAGCTCCATTGCATGAGGTACGGCTCGAACTTTTTTGGACCAAGTGCGTTGCACTCTCTTGGTGAGGGCCGGCTGTGCGGACAAATTTTTCCCTCTGATCCACGATACGCCTTAGATCTCGTAGCTGCTTTGCGTACGCCCTGACCAAGGGAGCAGCTTCTTCATCCAGCAGTTTCCCGACTAATAGCTCCCTCAAGTGCTGCAGTTGCAGCAACCCAAACCGTCACTCGTCATAAAAAACTGGCTAGGCTCCGGAGGCTCCCGCCTTGAAGAGTACTGTCGTGGGGTTGCTCGATGGTTGAGGGCATCGTGCTCATTCAGCTCCATCAATATGGCATTTGCAGCAAACACGCTGGCGTCAGTAAGTGGATGGCGTGAAATTAGTTTGTGGAAGTTGTTGGATTGGCGTCGGCCTGATGGTAGCGGATAAAAATCCTTGCCGTGCATATTGCAGAAGAAGGAGCAAGAGGCAAGCGAGTGGTACTAACAGAGAGACCACTCCTTGTTGCATAAGAGCTTACATTACCGGTTACCACTCTTGCATTGCAGCAAGTTAATTGAGAATCGAATAAGTGACAAAACTTTCCCGCCAAACCAAATTCACCCTTTTTCAAACCAAATTCACCCCTTTCAAACCAAATTCACCCTCACTTTTCACATCAAATTAACCACTTATAAGGGCGGGCATCACCCCAAATTCGGACGCCAGTTTTTTTGAATTCTTCCCTTTCGAGTGTTTTTCGTTCGTGTCTTGTGTTCAGATCATGCAGACATCACCACGCAGCCTCGCAAGGCACGCCCACTTGTCAGCGCGGACATAGATTCTCAAATCTTGTTTCATACCTGTGCTTTTGCTGTTTCCCACAAAATACTTTGACTGGAAACGACCGGGTATTGACACATGGCCGAATTCCGCCCATTCTCCAAAGGGTTTGGCAATCTAGGCTAACCACGCCCACTTGCTTTTCGCGGACTTTCGATATTTTTCAAAATTTTTGCATTTTAGGGCTGCTGCGTGAAGCCCCGCCCACTGTGAGAGGCTCCGCCCACTTTCGAAGAAGCCCCGCCCACTTTTCAAAAATGGTGCAAATCGGCAGTATAGAGCCTTGGCTTGCATGACAAGAACATCCGGCAAAGTTTATTCCGAATGCTCAGCAATACCCTAGCTGCGCAAGCCAAGCTCTAACCCTGCCGATTTGCCACCATTTGAAAAAAGTGGCGTGCTTTTCCAAAGCGGGCGGGGCTCACGCACAGCCCTTAAAATGCCAAAAATTTGGAAAAAAAATCGAAAGTCCGCGAAAAGCAAGTGGGCGTGGTCAGCCTAGATTGCCAAACCCTTTAGAAAATGGGCGGAGTCGGCCATGTGTCAATGCCCGGTCGTTTCCAGTCAAAGTGTTTGTGGGAAACAGCAAAAGCAGAAGTTATGAAACAAGATTTGAGAATCTATGTCCGCGCTGACAAGTGGGCGTGGCCGTCGGGGCGGGGCTCGCAGTGATGTCTGGCATGATCTGCTTGATGATGCCCGCCCTTATAAAAGGTTGATGTGAAGAGTGAGGGTGAATTTGGTTTTAAAAAGAGGTGAATTTGGTTTGAAAAAGGGTGAATTCGAAGTGAAAATGGTACATATGCACTTTGAATGCATATACAACCACTTTCACTTGGAATTCAGGGTTTTGCGAAGCAAATCACGAACGACCCAAAATCACGACTTTCCATCCTAATTCACGACTTACCTAATCATTCAAGAATTGCTTGCACATGCCACACTAGAAACTACTGCAGGCTCCTCCCTTACAGCCATGCCCACATTAAAGCGTGTGCGTGGTTTCTCACATCTTATTTCATAAATTCTGCTTCTGTGACTTTTTTTGCACTTTTGCTGTTTCGCACAAACACACTAGCCGGGAACTACTGTACATCGCACATAAGCAGCTCTTCCGAAGTTTAGACTTTTTATAACTTTTTTCACACCCGATCACCAACATCACATAAAATCATAAATCATTTTCAAAAGTGACGGGGCTCCTACAAAGTGGGCGGAGCTTCTCATGGAATGCGCGGCTCCCTGTAGCAGTCCAGAAATGTGAGGCTTTTGAAGAAAGATCAAAATTTCGCCAGAAGAAGCAAAGTGAGCGTGGCGAGAGGGCGGAGCTTGATGTGTCGGTGCATAAATGCGCGTCTATAAGTACACATGTCTCGTGAAGAGTGGATGTGAAATTAAAGAAGTCGGAAAAGTTATGAAATTTTCAAGTTCGCCACAAACTCTTTAACACGTTGACGACATCCTGAGCCACCGGTGGCTCATGACTTTCTCCATCACTTTTTGGGTTATTGCCGGCAGTCTCAATCGATCTTTTTCTTGCTTTCGAGTAACCTGTGGAAGGTGAGTTTCCAACAAGGATGAGCAAGAAAAATGTTGCTGCCCCCATGAGATATTTTGAATTAAAAATTGAAATTTTTCAACTAGCTACTGCTGCGGCAGAAACCTCCAAAATAGTTCTTTTTGGACGAAACCTTGGCTGCAGGGACTGCGCGGGTCTTTGATCATGAACGTGAGATCTCATTTGTCATTGGCGCCATATGGCGCCAGTAGGCGCCACTTTGGCGCCAGCGATCTTTTTGACACCGAATTTGATAGAAACCTCTACACCTAGGTTATTTGACATCCTTGTCACGAATGTATCGTTCCTTCT